TTTGAAATTCCATAACAAGAAAATGAAATACTTTACAAAGATGATATAGTAAAGTGTATCAATTGTGATACCACAAAACAATATATAACTTTGTGATTTGTTAAATACGCTCGTATTATATTTATGATTAATAGCTACAATGCAAATATTTCTTTTTAACTTTATTTAGGTTGACTTTATTCAGTCATTGTCATCCATTGGGCAACATATCAAGTTTCAATCCTCACTAAAAAGAAATGTTCTCACCTCATTGCTATTTATCTCAGAGATTTTCAAATCATACTTAATCATCTCTATTGACCTTGCCCTTGCAAATATTTGCCGAAATTATATGCGTCACAATTGTAGTCATGATTATAAAATTAAATTAAATGATGACTAAATGGTCTCCGAACACATAATTTGACCTCTTCATGTCACCTTTTCTTTGGTAGCAAGGACCTAAATTAAATGCGCAATACTAAGCCTCAAGATGGTGCACATTTGTGCTAAGTAACATTAAAATCTCCCGATGAATGTAGAAGTTCGGCTCAAAACAGGCATTTTTCAATGACCACTAAGTGTGAGCTTAACCTTAAATTTAAAGACCTGGTTCATGCACGTGAAACTATTCTCATAAATACATTTGGTAAAAAGAAATACATCTTTTGTCCTTTATCCGCTAAATTTGACGTGACATTACTGCGTTTTTATCTCAAATTATTTGCATATTGTTAAATGTTTGAATAGATATTTTAGTTGTTTTGAATTGGTTGTAACAAGTTCGACAGGAACTTAATAGGAAATATATATATATATTAGTTATGTTTTCCTATAAGTGACGGAAACGGATGAAACCACTTGTCATAGATGTGCTAAGATTGCATTGTTGATTTCTCTCACTTGCATTTAATGTGAATAAGTATTTACGAAACAAAGATGATGAAATTATATGTACCTGTCGTTTAAGTTTGTGCCCATCGTTGTAAAAATGAAATTGGTGTGCGTTTTTAAAAAGTTTGTTTATGTCACATAGAAAATAATAGGAAGTCAAGCAAAGTTTTGTTTGTTTGTTTTTGGGTTTTACGTCACATCGACACAGTATAGGTGATATCGCGACGTTACAGCTTTTACTGGTGGAGGAAGACCTCAGGTGACCTTCCGTGCATTATTTCAGGCACGAACTGGCACCTGAGTAGAACCACCGACGTTCCGTAAGCTAGCTGGATAGCTTCCTCACATGAAAGAATCCAAAGTCCCTGTCGGGATTCGAACCCACAGCGGTGAGGGGCAAGTGGTTTGAAGTCAACGACCTTAACCACGGACGCCCGTCAAGCAAAGTCAGTGATAGGTACAATCGTACGCTTGTTACAAGTACATTGTATTATCATTTCCAAAAATGTTTGAAATCACCGTTCATCCTTGAATTCGATTTTTTTTATTTTCATAAAATAGACTCTTCCTGATAAATAGATCTAGAGTTGATATTTCTTCCATATTTTGTTTACCCGTATGCACCTACTACACGCTGGTTTCGGGCTTCGAACACGAAAAAAATATTTCAATACTTCACATAGTTAACACGACAGAAATATGGCGGATTGCGTGCCCGTAAGCGCCCCTTTTTAAGGTCCTTTGTCGTCCATTTTTCTATTATATTATCTATTTTCGATGGCTTAGGAAAGGCGGTTTAAAGGTAGAAATTATCAGATTTTGTAAATTGTATATGACGCCGTTCCTTGGTTAGGGTAAAGATTTAAGGAAAAGATTACAAGCGTTTCTTTTTTGGGGGGACGTCTTAGAGGTCTTAAAGTATTTTTTATGAAGAAAAGTTTTCTGCAGGAAATAGTTTGAAGGTATATTTTTAAAAAAAAGACTTTAACGGTTTTAAGGTTAATAATAGATTGCTGATTACTGAAGTCCGAATTTAAACTCTTTTGTTGCGCACGGCACTACTTTATTTGCTAGGGCGTGTGCATAATAACAAAGCGTATAATTAAAGCCGTGATTATATTACAGATATTTAAGTCATTTTACAAGTGTCTCGGTTGTTATAAACATTATTTGTTTCAATATCTAAAACATTCAAAGGGCTGAAGAATGTATTGAACATGCAGTGAGTAAAGTAACTTATTAGTACAGTATTATTTACTGTTTTAGGAGGGAAACTTGCATTTATGCTTGTAAGTAACATTTAAAATTGCTTATTATTTTGAAACTGTCATTAATCTCTGCGTGAATCTGTAATTTGAATATTTGTTGTTTGGTAAACCATAAATATGCTAGAACTGAAATCTTTGAATTTTGATAAAAAGTTAAAGAAAAACAACATTACACGTTCGCACGATGACATGAGTTATAAGGTCGTGCACACGAGTAACTAAGTCGTGCGCACAAGTTACTACGACGTGTGCACGAGATAATTATGTAGTTCAACCAATCAGATTGCACTATATATATTATAGTAAACTAGAAATGTGCAATGGACAATGATTGAACTACTACACCTGCGTATCAATTGGTCATTATGCATACTTATGCTTGATAAATTTACTGTGACATTGACCTTTGACGTTACGACTTTAAAATAATTAGTTGTCATCTACTTGCTATGAGCAATATTCCGACCAAGTAACATAAATAATAGCTTATTTATTCTCGAGCTTTTGATTTGAAAAGGTTTTTACAATATTTGTCACTGTTGCCTTGACCTTTGACCTAATGCTATCGAAATCAATAGTGTTCTTTTACTGGCCACTAAGGGACCAAAGGCATGTGCCTATCAAGTAACAAAACGCATTGCTTATTCCATTCCTTCTCAAATTATTGATTGGACAAATATTTTACATTAATGGGCCATTGCGACCCTAATCATGGACCAAATGACCTCAAATAATTCGGTGTCATCTTCTAAGTAGGTAAACTGTCCATACTAAGTGATATAAACCATGGCCTATTCCTTCTCTAGTTAATATCAGACAATGATTTTACATGAAGTTTCATGCTTACATTGGCCTTTGATCTTAAATACCTCAAACACCAATAGAGGACATATACTGGCAATGTGCAATGTCCCTACCGAATAAAAATATCCAGGGCTTATTCCTTCTCAAGTTATCGCATAGAAAGGTTAACTTAGTAAGTCGTGCGCACCAATTTATTATCTCGTGCGTACGACTTAGTGAGTCGTGATCACAACTTGGTAACTCGTGCGCACGATATTTTATCTTGTGAGCACGAGCTAGATAAAAACACACACATGTCGCCACTATGCCACCGTACATAGGTTAGTAGTTAGTGTTTATTATTTTTCGATTTACATTTGAAAGTCCAGTAATTTCGAATAATAGTATCTTAAATTGGTAAAAAAAATATAATAAACAAGATCATTAAGGAAAGGCGGCTTCAATGAACGCAATAGGTAAACCGATCTGTATTTGGCTGTAAAGTGAGAAAATAATCTATTGTTAGACTAAATTGTATAAAGGTGCTCTTGGCTTAAATGTTGTAACTAAATACGGCTTCATTTTTCTTAAACAATTATTGTTCACTCAGCATAAATAAATGAAAGTCAATGCTTTATATAAAATTCATATTATTTGCTGAATATAAACGTGATATATTTAAACATGTATTTTGTATTATACTGTTATGATTAGTTTAATTTCATTAATTACATTCTAAATCCAACTATCTTCTTTGCTTTCATTGTTCTCGAGTGAACCTGGCTTTCCCGAACTTTAACATTTAATCCTCATTGTTACTGTTGTTCATTTAAGAAATATTATAACTATTTAATTTTCAAAATGATTGTTTCTTTATTAGGGTAGTAACTAGAGTTTCCTTAAAAGATGGACGCAGTCAAGCGACGGTTGGGCTGTGGTGCAAGGGAAGCCGACCAAAGAAATGATCATACGAGTTAACTGTAAAAAATATGAGTAAGTGTAGAATTAACATTTTCTTTATATTGGTTAAAAGAGATTTAGTCTTTGTTCTACTATATCGTCTAATAAAAAAACTAAATTTTAAAATTTCGGATATTCTTTATCACATAACCGTTCATTTAAACGTTGCTACTATTTGGGAAAACAAAGTGCGTGTATACGAAAAGTAGGTCAACGACTAAAATTTTTACACTGATAAGAAACAACAACAAATGTCTTAAACAGCTAAAGTTGCTCCCTAGTTTATCCTTTTGAGCTGTTTAAATCATTTACTATTTTCCTTAGTAACGTCTACCTATTACATATGTGTAGTGTTTAATTGTAATTAACGAAAATACTTTTATCAGACTGTTGAATTTAAATATGAACAAAAGTACATACATATATTTATGATCACATGAAAACAAAGTGATTTGAATTTAAAAAAAAAGATTATTTTTTATTAAAAGAATTAAGATTAAAACTTTATTATTTATGGTATGTACCATTTCAGGTATGTCTGATCTTGAAGACCCGCTGTACAAGAACTGGGTGCGTTCTGCCCTGAGTCTAAAGTACCTTAAAGAAGGCATATATGGCTTTGTTGACCAATTTTCAAAACAACATCATAGCAACCTTCTTCAAAGTTACATAAAGGGTACCGGGTCCCCTGCGACCAGTTGCACTGAATGTACATCCGAAAATCTCATGCCAGATCATCCAAGACATCAATGTATTCAAAAATTTAGATCCAAGTGTTTCTGTAACAATCCTGTTGGACGACGAAAATGTCCTAACAACTTCTGCAGTAGATTGTATGACTTAATTGTTATTGCTCATGACGAAAGAAACCCTTTATGGATCAATACGGACCCAGGAAAATGGTATATGGATCATTGGGAAATCGCTAAGTGTTACCTGTCAACTACTGGTTATTCAGAACAAGGGACAGCTGGAGACACAGACGTTGCTGGCCTATTGTCAATTATTGTGAATAACATCGAGATCCGTAATTACGTTGATTTCATAGATAATATAAGAAAGGTATTTTTGTATATTGTATAATTACATTCCTGTTTATAATTATTATATCCACCTAAAGGTGTTTAAGTGAGTGTCAATAAAATGGCACACTCTGATTCATATCAATACCTGATTTTCCGTTAGTCTGGTATCTGTTTATGCTGTCGCTAGAAGTTATAACGTTATTTTTCACAGTAGTCGTCGTTCTTAAACAATTTTATTTTATTCGATAAAACGTTTATGTATTTAAGCTTTTGGACCTCAGCGGAATCCTTTAACACGTGTTTAGTGTTGACGCTTTTCAAATGGATCTATTTTAACTATATCATAATATTGAATATGAATGCACGAAGATACATTCTATAATACAATGATTACGTCATTTATTATTTAAAGGTTCGGGATATCCGCAATGATATTATGCATTCAAAATCCTTCCAAGTGGATCAAAGATCTTTATATCAATATATCGATCAGATTATTTTGGTTCTTCAAGATCCCAAGACATTAGTCACAGATGTTGCTGCTCAAAATGCCGTTGTAAAACTGGAAAAGGTCACTATAACCTTGATTCTGTTATTTTCATCCTTTTAAATTACTTCTGTTTGTCAATAATTACACTTGTTATTGTCCTACATATTTCTTTTTTTTGCGTTTAATGTTCCTATAAATATTTTTTTTAAATCTTCTCTTTGTCGCTTTAGAATTAGTTATTAAAAAAAACCAGCCACCAGATTAAGGCACACTTTTATAAAACAATAGAACTTAAAGTCTTCAATTATATCTTCTGAAGTAATTATAGTATCAGCGTGACCAAATATTAATAAAAACGTAAATTTAAGTGATTTTAAAATTCTTAGATGTATTTTTTCTGGAGTCTTGTAGTTTTAAAGGCATTATTTGTATCTCAGAATTAAATGATGATATGTGTTTCGTTCCATGTATACAGTTAAAGAGAGATCAGATATACATAAGCTTAGAAGATGCTTATGAAATGCGGAGACAAGCTTTAAAAGCTGTTGAGGATGGTAAAAAAGAAATCGAGAACACTAAGGACGAAGTCATTCAACAAATCGAGACGAAGAGACAAGAAATTCATGATGATTTAGATTCACACTTTGGACAGCGATTACTGGAACAAAACAAGGAAATCAAAGCAGTTACGATACGTATGCAAACGGAGAAGAATGAGATTAAAAGAAGTTGTCAAACAGCTTTGAACGAAATTGGAGCCAAGGGGAAGCAGATTACAGATAACATCGATGCATACTTTGAAAGTCGACTGGATGACCATGAAAAGCAGGTGAAACTTTTGTATTCCGGCATTTTTTCTTTAACGCTATTAAATTCGGATGAAAGTAAATGCATGAGATATTTTCATATAATTGGTAGATTTTGAATTGAGTAACGTGATTATTGCTTTATTTAATTATGACATGAAGTAACAGTTACTCAGTATAAATAGTTGACCAAATATGAATCATAGTTTATGTTTTTCTAATAATTGTCATAAATAAATGCTCCTTTTGTGTATATTATTCTACAAGTTATACAACTATCTTTCTTTTAATATTCCCTTTTTTCTATTCATACCCTTTTTCTGATATAATTTTAGTCTAAAGACATTTCTGATGTTAAAACTCTGAATTCTTCGCTAACTGAAGATGAAAAAGGTAATTAATTGTGTAACAATTACTGATGTTTGTCAAAGACTGTCAAGTACTTAGCTGTCTGATTAAGTTTGATACATAATATACATTGTAGAATAGTCCATCAATCTATCTTAAGGTTTTTGAAAATTGTAAAGTTAAAAAATATGTATGTACTTTTTGCGGAGTGGAATCCAGTTTTGCTTCTGTTTATATAGTAAATATGTCATACATTGTTACATGTCATTCAATGTAAACGGAAATTAATATGTTAGTTACAGCCGCTAATTGAACACTAGAAACACTATTTGCATGTCCGGTATGCCAACCACAACAACGTCAATGCAAAGACGTTCTTTCCGTACTAATAAACATTAAATCCTTTTTATATGTCATTCTTTTTTATTTAGAATGCTGAGCAATTCATCTGTTTACGACTTTTTCCCCTTTTACATAAAAAGTATATGGCATTGACCTTTTGCCTAAGAATTATTATGATAAGAGTAAGAGAGAAAACTCGATTATGTTATCATGTAAACATGACATGAGTTATTATCACATGCAACTCTTTTAATACCTTAAGACATATGCTAGTCTAGTTATAAGCATGTTTGCCTGATTATGGAAATGCATTTGATAAAGGTCATTATGAACTACATGTACATGTATCACACTTTTATCAAGATTTCTCATATTTTGACAGGTCTCCAAAGATATTTACTAGGATTTTATAGAAAGGAATATGTTAAGATACCAGTTTCTCCACTTTCTACAAAATACAGGAAAAGCGTTGAGGAGCTTTATGTCCCGTTACAGGCACAGATATTTTTCAAACACAAGAATGTAGCGGCCACCAAACTAGATGAAGTGTTTCAACAAGACGGTAAAGTCATGCGCAGCATTTATCTTACAGGAGAAGCAGGGATAGGAAAATCAACTTTTTGCAGGAAATTGATTTCACAATGGTGCATTGTTACTGAAAATGTAGGGAAAATACCACACGATTATAATCATGTTTTTGATGGGTTTGATGATTACACGTATGATTTTGAGTATGAGAGTCTATCCGATGATAGTGATACATACAGTGATTATAGCTCACTAAGTGATCAAGACCTAAGCACAGATACAACGGGAAATGCTTTCTCAAGTCATAAAAATAATCAAGATCCCCTCAGTTCAGTCGCTAAAAGTTCACAGATCAACGAAGACGATACAAATAATGTATCAATCCAAATGTTTGATTTCCTTTTCTTCATATCTCTTCGCGATACTTATCTAGAGGTTTCCATTGAAGACATGGTAGAAAAACAGCTTCTTTTTCAAGATTCAAAACGTGTCGAATGTTTTAAAAGCACCATAAATAGAATTCCAGAGAAATGCCTTTTTATTCTTGATGGATTGGATGAGTGGACACAACCCAAACCTTTGCCAACACACCCCACTGTCACAAGAGGTTTGCCTTTAAGCTCTGTTAGTGGAAACTATGTCAAATTGTTTACGACTCGTAGATGGAAATACGAGAGTCTCAGTCCATGCATTGAAGAACATGAATCAGAAGTTAGATTGACGGGCATAGGGAAGACAGCATCAAAGATGGTCATTGAAAATATGTTAGTGTCAAAAGATCAAATATTTGCATTTGAAACGGCAGTTCGTTTGAGCGACGCAAATGATTTGGGGTCTATTCCTCTACTACTCAAATTACTAATTTGTTTATGGCAAGAAAATTCTAAACTGGAAAATTCTAAAACAGAGTTGTATTGTTCAATTATAAATATTATGCTTCATCTGGCTGAAAAGAGAAATGATTTGAGTATTTGTAATCAGACTCATGAATTACCACAAATGTTGGGGGTGTTTCGTTACATTAAAGACAATAGCAACCTTGTTTTCAAGCTTTCGCAATTTGCATTTTATTCATTGTTTAAAGAACCCTATGGGTCTACAGTCGTATTTTCTGAGTTTGATATTTCACAGCAAGGTTTGAGTTCAGGAGAAATTCATCTTTTTCTCCAAACGGGAATTCTTACACAAAAGTGTGTATCAAGTCAATCAACTTTTATCCCGAAAACATCATTGTCGTTTATCCATAAAAGTTTTCAAGAGTTTTTTGCAGCCGTGTATACTGCTATTGCTGACAGTGACAGAAATGAAATAAGAAACATTATTGCCTGCAGATGCGGTAACACGTTTCAAATTGTTGAGATGGCAAATGTCTTTTACTTCTTAGCAGACTTACACCAAAACTTGTACCAAAATATATTAAAGGAAATAGCATCACAATATCGTGACAGGGGCATCTCCTTTGGCCACGAACTGGATCTCATGTTGAAATTAAATGAAAAAGATAGTTGTCTTATTGATATATTCTTAAGAGGTAATCCAAAATCCGTTGTGATAGAATCAACAAAGTACGGCATAAAGGAGAATTTTTTTTCAAGGCAAAACCAACAGCTTCAACTTTTAGAGCTCCGAAGTGTGAATATGGCACATATTGAATTCAAGAGATTGCTGGAAAGTATTTCAATGTCAGGAAAAGGAGTTGATGTCACTCTAATATGCATAGGTTGGATAGACGAATATTTTGAAAGAGAAGTGTTCTTTGTTGAGGTAGGGAACGTAAGAAAATTGAAAATTAAATTCACAAACCTTACTAGAGTGAAATTTATGCTGCCTCAAAATATTTGTACTGTTAAATTTACTGAGAATGACATGGCAGACAGTGGTTTGAGCACAATGATAAATTCTGTTTCAAAAACAAGAAATGATATTGAAATGACCTTCCGTCGTATAAAGTTCAGAAAATATAAATATACGCATTGGAATTCTGAATGTCCACTTTTGAATATCACTATTAAACCTTGTGAAATTAATAAACGCATCGAAATAAGGGAAATAAAAATTTGTAAAAGTAATATTACTCATACAGGTACATGTTCTGATTTGCAGAATGTACAATTGAGAGAATTAACGATTGAACTTGTTGACCTCGCAAACGTGTCGTTTTCTTCTGAAGAAATTGACAATTTTCATCTGATAAAAGCAAAATCACATGATTTAGGTAAGTTTAAAGTTTCAAGTGAAAATCGACAGCTTCAGGTTTTAGAGCTAGAGTGTGTATGTGTGAAAATGACAGCATTCACGTCATTTCTAAAAAATATTCCTATGTCGAAGAATGTTGTTGATGTGACTCTAGTAAATGTCATTTGGATCGAAGAAGACATATCCCGAGAGTTTTTGATTGATGTAAAAAATATAAGGAAATTAAAAATTCAATCTACAAATCTTACAAAAATAGAATGGAAGCTGTCTAAGAATATACGTACTGTTGAATTGATTGATTCTACTCTAACATCCAGAAATCTGTCTGCAATAATCGAATCATTTCGAGATACAGAAGTTGATGTTGAATTGAACTTGAATTATACATTGTGCTCTGTATCCAAAATAGTACTGAATCGTTCTCAAATAATCGATAATGTGACATTAAAGCAAACCATGATAAGCACAGAAAGCGTGTCTCAAGAAAACATCTGTAAGTTTCAAAGATGTCCGCTTAACGAGTTATGGCTTATAAATACAATTTTCATGGATGTGGCCGTAAATTCAAAGGACTTTGACGTTATCAACTTTGAGAATGTAAAAATCAAAATTAAAGAACTACAGAACATCCTAGGGGAACAAATAATTGGACATCTTTGTACGGTCTTAGGAAAATTCAAACAAAATGATACCGTTACATTTACAGGTAGCAATGCTGATAAAGTACTTATAAGTGATAATTTTAACCTAAGATATGACAATAATTGTGCTCGAATTAAGATTAGTGTAAATGACAATGAAGTGTTATCCGTGTTTACTATATCACCTTCAATTATCTTCAATTTTTCCGCTATGAGAACAACATTAAATATCATTCCACGAATCGAGCAAATGAAATTGAATTTACAGTTTGAATATATTTCTGATTTGCGTTTTGAAAGATGTTTAAAAAATGTAATACGACTAATAAGAGACAATGATTTCAAAATATTTTCTGTAACGATTGGATATACAGAGAAAAATAAGAAATTGAAATATTTTGAGGCATATATAAATGATACATTAAAACCCACCAAAATATATAACTGTGAAGGACCTGTGAGGATATAACGTATTTCAAGGCTTTAAAGTGTTTAATTTGATATCTTTTGAATGTATGTTCTTTTGTATGTGCAATAAATGTTTGTATTCCTGTCATATCAGTTGAGTTAATATATGGAGGAGCGTTTCACAATGTGAAACGAATACATATGTATTCTTATGATTCTTTGAACACCTCACTTTTGGTTCATATTTCATTTAAGATAGATTAAATCATTATGGATTTTAATATTTAACTTTTTGAAAATGCCTACCGAAATATTTTTTAAATAATTCTTTGTTTTCGAATATAGAACTAGAACTCCGCGAGTCGAATGTGTCGCCTTGTGAAATGTATAGCTGTCACTTATGCATTTTCTTCTTCAATATCTTTAAACATTCTTACAATGTACATGTAACTTGAACTTTAGTGGTATTTAAAATGATTGTAACAATGTTATATCAGGATTGATATAGCTTGAATAGATTTTATTGTGTAGGAGAATTGGCCCGGGTAAAAAAGTATGATAATTAACAAAAGGCGATAACTGTAAAATCATGATTTATATAGTAATGGTCCTGCGCACTGCACTAATGACTTCTTCTCAATGAGATCTATGGAGTTTCATGCCCATAGCTTGTATAGTTTAGGAGAAATGGCCGGGAAAAAAATGGAAGATGAAAAACAAAGGGCAATTACTCAAAAATAAGAAGTGCAGAGTACCAGTTTTGTGAACTGTACTTTTTCATAAAAGTATCTATCTTCCTATGAAGTCTCTATTCCATAGATTGTATAGTTTAGGAGAAATGGCCCGACAGAAATAAGGCATGAAAATTAACAAAAGGCCATTACTCAAAAAATAAAAAGTGCAGAGGAAGGATTCTTGTGCACTGCACCTTTTATTATTAAAATCTATCATTCCATAAAGTTTCAATTCCATAGTTGTGACAAAAATAAAGTATGAAAATTAACAAAGGGCAATATCTCCAAAAATAAGAAAAGCAGAGTACTGCTTTTTGTGCAGTGCACTTCTTAATAAGATCTATCAAATTATGAAGTTTCAAGTCCATAGCTTTTATAAAAAATAAAGCATGAAAATTAACAAATAGCAATAACTAAAAAGTTAAGAAGCGCAGAGAAACGAATCTTGTGCACTACACTATGAGTCATAGAAAGAAGCATACATACCAAGTTTGGAGTCAATCCGACTTACATTGACTGAGTTAGGCTCCGGATAAGCATTAGGGGAGGCCAACACCGACAACCACACCGACAACGACGCCCGCCGACAAACATTTTGCCTATAGATTGCCTTTTCAAGGCGACACAAAAATATTGTGCAACACATGTTTTGTGGATGAGTCATTGGCCAATGGTTAAGGTCGTTTACTTCAAACCACTTGCAGCTCGTCGCTATGTGTTCGAATTCCGCCAGGTGCTGGATTCTTTTTGTGAACTTTGAATTTATGTAGCTAGTTAACGGAACGTCGGTACGTGGTTCTAATCAGGTGCCTGTTACTGTCTGAAAATAATGTACAAAATGATACCTGAGGTGTTCCTTCTGTAAAGCAGGAAAGACGCCATGTTGCTGTGTCGTAAAACCCCAGCCAAAAAGAAAACACAGAGAAAACATTGTTTTGTACGAATTAAGTTTTCTATAGATATTTACTTAGTTGAAACTGTATATTTGATTGATAATATGCTCCAGACCGGGACGTAAAATCGATGCATTATTTCCTTACCTCCCATCTCTCAGTCCATTCGTGCGTATGTCTCAAAATTTCAATCAAAATGCATTTTATTTACATAAAATACTGCTCGACTAAAAATATCGAATCTTTTGATCGAAATTCTCAAGAAATGTTCTGAACGATTATAGTATTTTCATTTTGATTACTTTTTACATCAACATTCCATTTAATCAAAAACTCTTTTACTGCAGGGACTAGTCCGCAGTATTATTGGATCAAAACGAATCTTTTTTATTGCATAATTGCGTTTTATTTGTCACAGTGGCGCCATTTTATGTAACTTTGTGATGAAACTGATTTGTATATGTTTTGTCTTATTCCATCTATTTCTGTCTGACTGCCGCAATTCGTGTCGCGGCTATAACTCAGCAATTCATCTAGGGATTTTGAAATAATTCGGCACAAATTTTCACCATAAAAAAGCACGTATAATGCGAGACAACCAGACCCCTACCCCCGTGGTCAATATCCCACTTTGAGATCAAAGGTCAACATTGTCTGATGGAGAGTACATGTCAGATCCATAACTTTAATATCTTTCAAGATTTTGAAATAAGTTTGCACAAATATTCACCATATTAAGACAATGTGTCATGAGCAACACTCAGACCCCTACAAAGTTTAACATGGTCTTTATTTTCCTTTTAACCGACGTCTTCTTTGAGCAAGATCTTCGTTTTGGTGACGATTTAATTTATTCAAAGTTGATCGGCGCATACGGCTCTATAACATTTAAAATAAACAGACTTATAGATATAGATTATGAAAATTATATAAAATTAAGTTATGAACATTAAAATCAACTTAATCATGAATTGTTCAATGCTATTCGAATTCAAAAAAAGAGAGGGAATAATTTATTGATATAAAATTCATGATTTAAACTGGTGATATTATAAAGGTTTCGAGATATTTTGTTCGATTAACTGTTATCGTGAAATAGTATAAAACAATCGTTCATTTATATTTTACATTTTCCGTTTTAAAGCTATCATTCGGTTTTTGTATTTTCTGATCGCAAGATCAGTAAATACATAGCTAACATCCACGGTCTAACACAACATTTCCTAAAAGACCTAACAACGCAAAGTAGTTCTCACTCAAAACTGCTACAAAACCAGCAATTTAAAAGACAGAATAATTTTTAATGTAGGCATTTAACGAATTACAGTGCATTGAAAGTTCAGATAAGTCAATAGAAATATGAGGTTACAATCACACATTTCGCGGATGAATATCATTTTAATCAATGAAAATACTATTTTTAGCTATGTCGATTACTGAATACTGCAGGGCGTAGTACACAAATAAATCTGACTGCCGAGTAGTGGAGTAATTATATATACATGTCGGACTGTTTTGGCGAGAAAATTTTCGCTAAATTATTTTTATCAATCTTAAACAGGTTTATCGTGAACAAAATACCTCGAAATTGATAAGGATTACAAACACGAAATGGAAATTCTCAATTTAGAATTACAATGTATTTGTTTGTATTCAGGCTACATATTACGTATTACTTCACCGTGGTGCAGAGGTATCGCGCTCGTTTAGGGTGTCAGAGGCCTAAGGTTCAAATCCTAGTCAAGGCAACTTTTTTTTGAAGTGTCTTTTTAAAGGAAGTAGCCACGATATGCAAGAGTAAAGTGTGGCTGTCATTAAAAAATGATTTTTAATGCAACTCTAGTCATGCAAAATCCCATATGTATCAATCTCAAACTGTTATGGAAAAAAATCTTTACGCAGTCGCTGCGTAAGATGAACTATAGTATATAAAAATAAACTTATATAGGAAAATACATACAGATAGTCAGTATGATTTAGATTGCAAAGATCAGAAAATACCACAGATTTGCAGCCCTTTGATTTATACACTGCTTCCGTTTATTCCGGTTAACTGTCCTATTATAGTTCCTATGAAAGTGTGCAGGACACGAGTCTACGCATCCGTTTTCAATCAGAATTCTTCGGCTTTTATTGTTATCTTATAATTCGAAAAAGTTGCGATGTGTCAGTTCAGTACTTCTGACGCAAGTTTTCAAAGCCATCACTATCTAGCAGGTACTCGCGTTACCGTAAAGCTCGCTTTGCGAGCAGACCCCTCGGGCTCTCTCTTCGAGCTCTCTTACAAATACCATAGAGGAAAATAATCTTGATATCAGATACATTAATATTTTATATTGGAACAACTTGGCTGTGTCCACTAGCTGTCACAGATGCTTGGGGTCAGAATCCGCCCCAACGTGATACGCCCTTGTTAAAATATTAAAATAGTTTTGATAGTGTTTACAGGGGCGTATCACGTAAGGGGACAGGATCTGACCCCAGAGCGTACGTGTCCTTGGTCAGATTTCTCTACTTGTTTTCAAAAATTAGACTACTGTTCAGTGCAGTCTTATTAACCATTGTACATGCCTCAGTCTGGATGACCTATTCCCAGATTTTTCTAATTTTTGTTTACTTCTAGTGTTTACCGCTACATACATTTATTACAGTCTACTATGACAAGGAGGTGATCATTTTTTGTACTCTGATATTTTTATGCAAACGTTTTTTTTTAAAGATGTTTTAAATTATTGGGAGGGTATAATCCTAACATGAAACCAACAGGACCATAAAGGTAGTGGTAGAGAGAGAGAGGAATCCAAACCATTGAATACACTTTAATCACCTTGGATCCATAAATTAGGCCAACAGATTGACAATGTTTTATAAGGTCACGGGGCATAGTGCCTTTCCAAGACTACGTTAGGCCTGTCCGAGAAAATACACGCAGTGTGAAATCTAAGACTTTTGAGAATTGTGCCACAGAAAAAATTATTGAAAATCACATGAAAAATTACTCTAAATGCTTTAAAACTGTGCAGTGTAAAACTCTTAGTTATAACCAATCATTTTTCCGACAGACAATAAATTATTGTTGAATGGAATAAATTTAGTGAAAGTGTTGCGCAAGCTAAGACAGAAGACAGCTTCTTATCAGCTTTATTCCATTTGGACTAACTCGTCTCTCCCGTTGCTTATATGCTTAAAGGCCCTGCAATAATATAACAATATATCACAATATGATTTTTCTTTGCATACCCACCCATAAATTGTATACTTGGCAAATTCCTATAAATAACAAATCTGTCTTTGTCAATAAATCAACACATTTCAGAATATGTTATTTATAAGGACACCATTTTGCCACAATTCATCTCGATAGAATGCGAAGAATGTCAGTCTGCAAGAGAAAAATGCATTCTACAATGATATGTTTTGCAAACCACAGATAAACTTTCACTGTATTAACTCGCCCTTAAGGCGGACCGCTTATAAGATGTCTCAAAATTGGCACTTTTTGCTTAGACCCT